TAGTGAATTTTCACTATAGTTCTGTGACGATGTAAATGGACAGGATCTTCATGGAACCAAGGAGACTGAGGCCCCAGAATTTAAGGCCCATGGTCATACAGCAAGTGAGCAGGTGGTCAAAGCCTGTCCTCCATTGTCACAGGGCACTGCTTCCATGCAGACCTTTTGTTTCCTTTGGGAAGATCTGTCACTTGTCTAGCTACTCTGATGAAGTCATTGCTTTAGGGCAATGGGATTGAGTTTAAACATAATTGAGCACCTACAAGAAGGCAGGCATGTGTTGGGCATGGGGTGGCGGGGTGGGGTATAAAGCTGCAAAACTGGCCTCTGCCCCCAGGAAGCTCACAGCCCATGACAACTGCAGTGACCCTTAAGCCTGTCATTTTCGCTACTGTCTTCCTTGTCTTGCTATTGATTATTATTGTCATCTATGTGAACCTTCCCTTTTTAAAAAGGCTTTTAGTTTTTAAATTATAAAACTAATCAATATCACCATATTATCTAGCAATTCTATTTCTGGGTCTAAGCCCCAAAGAACTGAAAGCAGGATCTTGAAGACATATTTATACACCCATGTTCATAGCAGAATTATTCACACTAGCCAAAAGGTGGAAGCAACTCAAGTGTCTATTTTATTATTTATTTTTTTTTGAGATGGAGTTTTGTTCTTATTGTCCAGGCTGGGATGCAGTGGTGTGATCTCAGCTCACTGCAACCTCCGCCTCCCAGGTTAAAGCAATTTCTTCTGCCTCAGCCTCCTGAGTAGCTGGGATTACAGGCACCCACCACCATGCCTGGCTAATTTTCATATTTTTAGTAGATACAAGGTTTCATCATGTTATCCAGGCTGGTCTTGAACTCCCAACCTCAAGTGATCTGCCTGCCTCAGCCTCCCAAAGTGCTAGGATTACAGATGTGAGCCACTGCACCCGGCTTCAGGTGACTATTGAGAGATTTTATATATATATATATATGTATATATGTATGCATATATTGTATATATACTAGATATGTATATCTACAATGGAAAATTATTGTGTCTATTGAGAGATGAATGAATAAACATATATATGTGTATTATCTATGTGTGTGTATATATATGTGTGTGTATATATATATGTGTGTATATATATGTGTGTATATATATACACATGTGTGTATATATATGTGTGTATATATATACATGTGTGTATATATATGTGTGTGTGTATATATATATACATGTGTGTATATATATATACACACACATAGATAATACACATATATATGTTTATTCATTCTTCTCTCAATAGGCACAATAATTTTCCATTGTAGATATACATATCTAGTATACACACAATATATACATACATATATACATTGTATGTACACATGTACATACATATACATACAATGGAAAATTATTCAGCCTTAAAAAGGAAGCAAATTCTGACACATGTCTCAACAGGAATGAACCTTGAGGGTGTTATGCTGCTGAAATAAGCCAGTCATGCAAAGACAAAAACTGTGTGATTCCACTTATATGAGGTATCTAGAGCAGCCAAATTAATAGAGACTGAAAGTAGAATGGTGGTTTTCAGGGGCTGGGAGGTGAGGGATGGGGAGTTACTGTTTAACAGGTACACAGTTTCAGTTTTGTAAGATGCAGGTTATGGAGCCGGATGCTGCTGATGGCTGCCCAATAAGTGCTTAGAATACTATTGAACTGTACATTTAAAAATGGTCAAGACAGTAGATGTTATGCTATGTTTATTTATCATAATTTAAAAAGATCAAATAGACATTATGATAAATTCAAATAATCAAAACTTACTAAAGCAAAAAGAAAGTCTGCTTTCTTGCCTGTTCATCACCTGCTTCTCAATCTCCTCTGTTTGGGCAATTGCTATTCAGTTTATTTGTTTCCTTTGTACTGTTTTGCCTGCTTGCACAGATGTACACACACACACGCATGCACGCATGCATGTATGCTTTTAAAAGCCAAAACAGATCACTGACTCCTTCTTCTCCCCTGTACACTCCTCAAAGGGAGCCAAAAGGAGCAGTTAAGAATGTGGGGTGGGAACAGCTGGCTGATTGTAATTTCCATTCCACCCCTTACTCACTGTGACCATTCACTAGTGATTTAATTTCTCTAAAGCTCAGTTTCCTCGTCTGAAAACTGGGATAATATTATTGCTGGAAATTAATGATGAAAAGAATGGAAGGTGTTGGCACATAGGAAACATGTAGTCAGGGTTGGCTGGTTACGTGCCTCTGGAAGTTTCTTCCATGATGTGGACTCTGTACAGTCAGGGCTCAAGGAAGTCTGTAGCAAGAGGAGGAGAGTGAAAGTGAGAACCTCTTAGCGGGCACTGTGATCATGCCTAGGAGGCACATATTATCTTCCCCAAAAGGTCTAGTTAAGAAGAGTTATTGGCCAAGTGAGGTGGCTCACGCCTATAATCCCAGCACTTTGAGAGGCCAAGGCAGCTGGATCACTTGAGCCAAGGGGTTCAAGATCAGCCTGGGCAACAAGTGAGAACCCTTTCTCTATTAAAAAAAAAAATTAGCCTGGTGTGGTGGTGCACCCTTGTAGTCCCAGCTACTCAAGAGTCTGTAGCAGGAGGATCTCTTGAGCCTGGGAGGTTAAGACTGCAGTGAGATGAGATCATGCCACTTCACTCCAGCCTGGGCGGGCAGCAGAGTGAGATCCTTTGAAAAAAGCAGCAGCAGCATTATTCTGTTCTTTCCAGTAATGAGAAGCAGCTGCTACATGGTGGCTATCCATCTCAAAATAGTAGATCTTGGAAGTGAAAACTCATCATATAAACTTCTAGGTACAGTGACAGAGCAGAATCTCCAGAGCATTTAGGACCTGTGGACAAGTGACTACAGGAAGGTCTTAGGGTCATGAAATATGTGCAGCACATGGGGTCCAGAGATCTGAGTTCAAGTTCTGCCTTATATATATATAGCCTTAAGTCATACACACTATACACTCTTTTTTTTTTTTTTTTTTTGAGACAGAATCTTACTCTGTCACCCAGGCTGGAGTGTTATAGTACAATTTCGGCTCACTGCAACCTCCCCCTCCTGGGCTCAAGTGATCCTCTCACCTCAGCTCCCCAAGTAGCTGGGACTACAGGCGTGAGCCACCATGCCTGGCTAATTCTTGTATTTTTTGTATAGGCAGGTTTTCACCGTGTTTCCTACGCTGGTCTCAAACTCCTGAGAGGTCAAGCAATCCACTTGCTTCCGCCTCCCAAAGTGCTGGGATTACAGGTGTCAGCCACTGTGCCCAGTCTCAGTTTCCTTCCCCAGAAAATGGGCATCATGTTATGTATCTTATAGGGTTATTGTGAAGGTTAAAGCAGCAGGTGCATGCAAAAGTGCTTTGCAAACCATAAAGCTCTAGGTTGGTATAAATGACTGAATTTTTTTTTTTAAACTTTAAGTTCTGGGATATATGTGCAGAACATGCAGGTCTGTTATACAGGTATACATGTGCCATGGTGGTTTGCTGCACCTATTAACCTGCCATCTAGGTTTTAAGCCTTGCATGCATTAGGTATTTGTCCTAATGCTCTCCCTCCCCTTTCCCCCCACCCCCCGAAAGGCCCTGGTGGGTGATGTTCCTCTCCCTGTGAAAGACTGAACTTTTATATCAATGGGTTTGTGTCAGTGTTCTGCTATACAGTACTGAAACCCTTTTTAACTTTTAAAAATGAAAATACCTTTTTTTAGTTCTTGGTAATATATAATCATTGTAAAAAATTAAGGCAAAATGAGAAAATGAAAGTTTCTTTAATCTCAACTGCTGATGACACTTTCTAATTCTTATTTATTTAAAGATATCTCAATATATTAACCGAAAAAAGTTTCAGATGTTTTTGTAATATGATCCTACTTATGGCTTAGGAATTACTGCCTATTAAATATTAGTGATAAGAATAAACATGCAATATACTACATTAAGATTATATGATCTTTTAGAGACTTTTATAATTTTCAAATTCTATCAATGATTGCTAATGATCCTTTATATACTATACAAGAATATGGTACTAGTTAGAATTTAGGTTCTACATTGGTAAAAATGGAGATAATATAAATGCAAATTCATAATTTGAGTGAAGATTAAGTTAGATAATGCACAGTATTGTCTTAAAGCAACATAAATGTTAGCTGTTATGATTATCAATAATAATACATTGAGGTTATTTTGTTACTTGCTTTTGCTAAAGGACCTGCTTACTGATGACCACAGGGTAGTTTATCTGATTAACCTGTGATTACTGGGGATAAAGTACAAGGTTTTAGGAAATAGGATTGTTAATTTACAAGGTTGGGAGGTAGTGCAGAAGTAATTATGAAGGCTGTGGAGGTTGGAAGCAGTGGGTGAGGACACGTGGGTAGCCGAGCTGGGTGACGGCCGGGGACTTTCTGATCTGTGGTATCTGGCTGTGGCTTCTTTGGTCATATGCTTTAACTACTGTTACTGAGATTTCATGTGCATTTCCCTATACAAATCTTCAGTGCAACTGCCAGATTGCTAACATGTGAGGAGATAGTGCTGGCTTTTTTTCTCTGACAATGACCAGAAACTTACTGTATGAATCATGCCAAATTCCACAGCATTCTTTTCTCCATTTAATCTAACTCCAAAGTCTTTTTCCTACCCCTTATTAAAATTTAAATGTTGTACATGAAACACTTGGAATAGAACAAGAGGCACAGGATTTTTTAAAGTTTAAAAGTTACTTTTAAAAATAACATTTTCTAAGGGAATTTATTCTGTATCTTTGTAAAGCTGTAAAGCTGTTCACACACACACACACACACACACACACACACACACACAACACACACACACCCCTCTCCCAGCTGTCAATGAATGGTATAAATAACAACTGTGACTTTAACCACAACAAAAATGTGTTACTTCTTAGGTTGTCTTTGAGGTTTTCCTTTTAAAAGCTGTTTCTAGGAGCCAATTTTTTTTTTTTCTTTTCCCCTAGGATCACTGCTGACTGACTAAGGACCTCAGGCTGTTTATATGGGAGAGCTTTAGATATGGTTATTTGTATGGCATTGTATCAAGGCCTTCAAATATTTGCTGGGAGGTTTAGTGGAGAATGTCTAGACCAGTGCAAACACTGCAGGCCCAGAGAAATCCAAGAAGCTCAAGGAACCATTCAAGAACCCTTTCTTTATCCTACTGTCCTCACAAGGAATTACAAGGAAATCTTCTGAATCCTTGTCAGCCTGGATGAGCCCATCAAAGAGGGTCCAAGTCAATAAAAGATCTTGATTTCACCATGCCTGCTTTCATTCATTCCACAGCGATGAGAAGGAGAGTGGAAAGCCATTGATCTTAAGAGTCAGACGAGCTCCATACCAGCCCAACGTCTGCCACTCACTTGCTGGTTCACTCTGGCAAGTCACTGGCCGTCTCGGGGCTCTAGTTTTCTTAGTTTTAAATGAAAGTGGTTAAGTAAAAGAATGTCTGGGCTCTCTTTCTTTGATCTTATCTATCTATTAAGTAACTTGCAGGTGTAGTCTTTGAACCAGGTCTGTAGTAAAAGATACAAAGAAAAAATTATAAGATGAGATCCCTTGTCTCAAGAAAGTTTGATTGGATGTTTAAGCCTGTTTTATTATTTCTTAGCTCCAGAGTGTATGTGGCCACAGGCAAATACATAATAAATCATTTATTGATGTTATATCACAATACAAGATAAAATAATATCATCTATGTTGCCAGGCTTTGAGTCCACCCTAAACTTTTGTACAGGTGGCCAACACACAAATAAATACACCTATAATAACAGTTATTTTATGTATAACAAGAGCTATAATAGATCGGTCTCCTACTGTGTACCTAGCTCTCTGCTAGATGCTTTAAAAGCCTTATCTCTGAAACCCTCATGACAATCTTGTAAGATAGGCAGTGCTATCTGCGTTTTACACATGAGGAAACCAAGACTTTGAGAGATTAAGAAACTTGTCCAACATTGGCCGGGTGTGTGGCTCATGCTTTCAATCCCAGCACTTTGGAAGGCTGAGGTGGGTGGATCAGCTGAGGTCAGGAGTTTGAGACCAGCCTGGGCAACATGGCAAAACCCCGCCTCTATTAAATAAAACAAAACAAAAAAAAATTAGATGGGCATGGTGGTATATGCCTGTAATCCCAGCTACTTGAGCGGCTGAGGCAGGAAAATCGCTTGAACCCAAGAGGCGGAGGTTGCAGTGAGCAGAGATGGTGCCACTGCACTCCAGCCTGGGTGACAGAGTGAGACTCCGTCTCCAAAGAAAAGAAACTCGCCCAACATCATGTAGCTAGGAAGAGGCTGTAGCTCTTTCGGTTCCAAAGTCTAATCTCCTTTCACTATACCTTTGCCTCTGGGTGTAATGTTTTGCGTTTTATAAAGCATATATATGTGTACACACACACACACACACAGACACACACACCCGGGATTTTGAAGATGAGTAGACTGCAGCACAGGCTGATTAAATGATGTGTCCCAAATCCCTTCGCTAGAGAGTGGCAGACAAGGGACCTGAATGAAGCCAGGTGCTCTGACTCAAGAAAATGTTCCCTCACCTGCAGTGCTGCTTGCCGCATGCCCCGGCTGACACGGTTTTGTAAGATTCCTTAACTCTCCTAGGTGGGGCAGGCATGCCACACGTCCCCTCCCCACATTGTTCATGTGCTGCTTCCCATTTTCTTGCTCAACCCTCTTGCAATCTCTCTCAGTTCCATACATGGGCATTTCATCTTTCCAGCTGCTCAGGCCCCAGAACAAGAACCAAGGACTTGTGCTTTTCTCTTATACCTGTGTCAACTCCTTCAACAAATCCGCCGGCCTTCCTTCAACGTAAACCCAGGATCTGACCATTTCTTGGCACCTCCATCAGTTTCCTCTCAGGCACGCCAGGCATCTTTCCTGTCATCTCATCTGGTCCCTCCGTATCTTCCCTTGCTCCCTACAGTCTCTTCTCCGCACGGTAGCCAGAGGGATCCTGTTAAGTCGGAAGCCACATCCTACCCTTCTCTGCTGATACATGCTCCAATGGCTTCCGGTTTCACTGTGAGCAAAAGCCCTATGAGATGGACTTGACTCCTGCCACGAGGCCTCCTGGCTGTTCCTGGAACACATCAGGACCACTTCTGCCCCAGGGCCTTTGCACTTGCAGTTTTCCTGCCCTGGGACCCTCTTCCCCAGATGTCTGCAGAGCCCACTCCTCGGCTCCCTCAAGTGTGTGCTAATTTTCCATCTCCTTGGGGAGGCTTCCCTTGCCCACCTTTATTCACACTACTGTTCATCTCCTACGCGATGTTTTCCAGCCCCACTCTGGAGCTCTGCCTCCTTTCTCCTTCGAAGCACCTATCACTGTCTGGCAAACGATGCATTGAACCAGTTCATTTTATTTGTCATCTATCTTCCCAAATTGAATGTAAGGCCCCCAAAGGCAGGGTTTCATTTGGGGAAGGGAAGTTCTAGTTTGTTCACCACCATAAAACCCTAGTGTCTACAACAATGCCTGGCACTTAGTAGGTCTCGATACATTTTTTTTTTTTTGACAGAGTCTCGCTCTGTTGCCCAGACTCGAGTGCAGTGGTGTCATCTCGCCTCACTGCAACTCCCGCCTCCTGGGTTCAAGTGATTCGCTTGCCTTATCTTGCCTCAGCCTCCCAAGTAGCTGGGACTATAGGTGTGCACCACCATGCCTGGCTAATTTTTTGGTATTTTGGTAGAGAAGGGGTTTCACCATGTTAGCCAGGCTGGTCTTGAACTCCTGATCTCAGGTGAGCCACCCACTTCAGCCTCCCAAATTGCTAAGATTACAGGTGTGAGCCACCGTGCCTGGCCCCAATACATATTTTTTGAATGGATGAATAAAGGATATTCATTCCCTGTCCCCTGGCAGGTATTAGGGCCTCACCTCTTCCTGATCTGCAGAGTAGATAATTTTTTTTTTAATCTCAGGCATATGTTCACTTTTCTGAGGTGTGGTATGACCACTCATTTCTCATTGACTCTCACCTAAGCCCAGTTCCTACCTAAGATGCTGTCCGCAGAGGCTTGGGTGAGGCTGCAGTCATGCCAGCTTCTGCTCTCACCCCACATTCTTTGAGTTTAATGAGGAAGCCTCCCTCAGGTGCCCATCCTGGACTGCTTCCTAAGATGCTGCCTTCACAGACAACACTCTCAGTTTCAGGAGCCATCCAGCTGTTGAAGGTCAACCACTCAACTTACTGAGTATTAATTATTCAAATGTGTCTGGTTGTATGGGAGGCCTTCAGCCAGCAATGAAATGGAGGGTGAATCACGGTGAGAGAGAAAGTTCATATTAATGGTACACCTTTCCCCATCTCAAAGGGATAGATACCCTTGAAAGTGCCCCTGTGCTTCTGGGTTGAAGAGAGTACAGGAGAACGGAGGGAGAGAAGCCCATTCAATCTGTAATTTGCAAAAAAAAAAAAAAGAAGCCATTTATCAAAGTTTCTGCTTGAGATATTCAGTAATAGAACTACCCCTCAAGGTTTCCTTAAGGGTAACGTTGCTGATTAAAAAGGAAACATGCTCTCCCATTTTGCATTTGAGAAAACTGTCACACAGAGTCAGGTGGTGATTCTCAAAGGACAACAGCAGCCCCTTGTATGAAGGGACAGTCATGTTCACCTCCACCCACCAGAACTGTGTCCCAGACCATCTCTGGAGGACGGTGTCATCATGAAAGCTGCCTGCCAACGAGAGAAAGAAAAGGAAATGAAACTCACTCACCACTCAAACCCCAAACAGTGCTGGGTCAGGAGTGAGAGCAGAGCAGGCAGATCTGGGCAGAACGTTAGAAATAGCATCAGTGTCCCAACTGGGTCGGCCTCTAAAGGTCAGCCAGGACAAAATCGGAGGTCACCTGCACTTGGGGAAGCTGAGGTGTGGAGGGGATGAGTGACTCCGGGGTCCCAGCCATGCAGGGAGTTAGTGACTTAAAAGCAGTCAGAATTCTGCCACCGTGAGTCTCCACATGGAGCTATGTCCAGGGTGACTGAATGACCATGGCAACCCACTGCTTTTGTACCCTTATGTTCCAGATGAGGAGACAGACCCATAAGGCAGAAACAGCAACGAGGCCAAGGAGGCCAGGGAAGATATTTTATGTGGACCTTCACCCGTTGGCTTCTCTTGAGTTCACTTAAGCAGGACTTTCTGTTCTTTCCCTCTTCCTTTCCTTCAGTGTCACGGTAACTTTATAACAATTTTGTCTAGTCCCTCAGGAAATGGTCTTGTGAACTTGAAAAACAAATGCCTAAATTCACTGAACCAAGTTAGTTTCTTGTACTGTCTCTTCTGTTTCATGCCAGTGTTTCTGCCCATAAGTGGGGTCAGCTTGTTCAGAGTGGAGGGGAAGGCAGAGATTCTGTGGACTCCCCGAGTCATAGCTTAGCAATGAGAAGACAGGGATGCATAAGATAGTCTCCCCAGGCCGGGCATGGTGGCTCAAGCCTGTAATCCCAGCACTTTGGGAGGCCAAGGCGGGTGGATCACGAGGTCAAGAGATCGAGACCATCCTGGTCAACATGGTGAAACCCCGTCTCTACTAAAAATACAAAAATTAGCTGGGCATGATGGTGCATGCCTGTAGTCCCAGCTACTCGGGAGGCTGAGGCCGGAGAATTGCTTGAACCCAGGAGGTGGAGGTTGCGGTGAGCCGAGATCGCGCCATTGCACTCCAGCCTGGGCAACAACAGCAAAACTCCGTCTCAAAAAAAAAAAAAAAAAAAAAAGATAGTCTCCCCAAAGTAGACTACCCCAGTGTTCTCAGCATACAGCAGGTGCTTAGCAAATGATGGTTGCATTGTGTTGTTAGGTGCCATGCTGGAAAACTTACAGGCTACTAATTTTACAACAGACCAATGGACAGGCGTATTGATCACCCAACTACTCTATGTCCAGAGTTATCATTGGAGTTGTCCAAAAGTCAAGAGACATATAGCTTTACTCTCAGGGACCTTGAAATCTCATTGGGAAGCCAGTTCTATCACACATAACATACCTTGAGCAAAACACAAGACAGTTCCGTAAAAGACCCTGTAATATTGATGAGATTGCAGAGAGAGGATTTAAAAGCCAGCTCGCTCCATCATCACGCCCATGTAATAATAATGATAGTAATAGTCATAACTGCCCTTTTTTGAGCAGTTAACTGTAGTTACTACCAGGCACATGCTAAGCACTTTAAATATATCATCTCATTTACTCTGCACAACAAACCTACCAGTACTAATATTATTTCCTTGTCCACAATCA